TCCTCCCTCCTCCTCCTCCTCCTCCTCATCCTCCTCCCTCATTGGAGCGACGGTCCAAGACGGGTCTTAAGCGAGATGGCATGGTGACCTTACGCGGTGCTGCCAGCGTGGCAAGCTACATTGGAAACGATGGCGCTCACGCGCGACCTTACGCGCAGCTTACGCGCCAGTGCCGGTGAAGACGATTCCGTTGTCCTGCGTCGCTCACGTATCCTCTTCCTCCTCGTCCTCACCTCCTCCTCCTCCTCCTTCTCCTCCTCCTCCTCCGCCTCCTCTTCCTCCTCCTTCTCCTCCTCCTCCTCCTCGACCTCTCCGTGCTCGGACCGAGGCCCCCACCCCTCCTCGGCCACAGCCCCCTCCCCCTTTTTCCTCCAGACATCCGGCGTCTTGGGCAGCACTCGGGCCACGGAGAAGCTCCTTGCCGACGGCGGGCGGCCGTCCCGGAGCCGTCTGCTGCTGGCCCCCAGGCAAATCCCTCGGGCGGCCGTCCTGGGGCCATCGGGCAAATCCCTCGGCAGGGCAAACTAGTCCCCAGGCCTGGAGGCCGCGACGTCGGGGGTAAGTGAGTCCTCGTCGTCCTCCTCCTCCCCCTTCCCCTCCTCCTCCTCCTCCTCCTCCTCCTCCTCCTCCTCCTCCTCCTCCTCCTCCTCCGCCTCCTCCTCTACTCACTCCTCCTACTCCTCCTTCCGTCCTTCATCCTCCCATCCTACCTCATCCCTCCTCCCTCTCCTCCTCCTCCTCCTCCTCCTCCTCCTCCTCCTCCTCCTCCTCCTCCTCCTCCTCCTCCTCCTCCTCCCCCCTCCCCCATGCCTCTGTATCCCTTCTCTTTCCCCTGCACTTCTGCATCCTCCTGCTCCCCCGCTCCTCCTCTTCTGTCCCCTTTGCCGCCCATCCTTCCCCGCCCCCTCCGCGGGAGGATGCGGAAGGGGAGAAGTGCGTAGGCGAGGGGGGCTGAGGGAAAGAGGAGGAGCGAGGAAGGAGGACGAAAGAAGAGGAAGACACTCAGGGAAACGACGACGAAAAGGGGACGAAGAGAGGGAGCGGTGAGAGGAGGAGGGAGGAAGAAGGCCAGGACTGTGAGGACGAGGAGGCGGGAGAGTGGAGGCGGGGAGGGACGAGAAGGGAGAGAAGCGGACGGGAGGAGCGAGGAGGGGAGATGAGGAGAAAGATTAAGTCGGGCGTGTCCCCCCATACAGGGGGATTGTCGACGAAAGATTCGCCGGCCCAACGGGCCAGGGCGTGCTAAGATCTCCGGTAACAGGTAAACAGTATTTCTAGTTCGCGCGCGCGGGGCGGCCCCTAGGAGTCCCCGGGCGAAAAGTACCCCGGCAGGTCCCCGGGAGGGTGGGGGCCAGAGATGCTGGACTTCCTGGGTGCGGCCCTGGAGGCCTCTGGAGCGCTCCAGGAGCGCTCCAAGGACACGCCAAATATGTGGCAGGCCCAGCAGCCTTAAGCCAAGAGCGCCCCAAGACGGCCCAGATGGCCTCAAGACGGCCCAAGATGCTCCCAAGACGCCCCAAGATGCGTCCAAGAGACCTCCCAAGAGGCCCCCAAGAAGCCAAAATTCATGATTTTCATTGTTTTTTGAGGATTTTGGCGTTATCGCCTCTTCGGCTTCCTAGCGCTCCAAGACGGCCCAAAAAGCCCTCAATATCGCCCCCATACGGCCTACGAGGGTTCAAGACCGTTCCGAAACGACCCCAGAGGGCCCTAAGAGACCCCCAGAAACCTCCTAGAGGGACAGGCCCGACTTAAAAGAAGGAGGGAGGGGAGAGGGAGGAGGGGATGGTGGAAGGGACGAGGGAGGAGGGAAAACAAAAAAGATGGGGAGACAAGCAGGGAGGCAGGCGGAGAGGTGGGTGGGGAGTGTCGCCGACGAGAGAAGGGAGGGGGGTCTCCCCCCCCCCAAACAAAGACATTCCGAACGTCCAGAAACCTTCCCCAAAGATCTGCGGAAATCTCTGGAGGTCTCGGAGAGTCCCAAGACAGGTCCCCTGCGGGGCGCAGGCCGCGCGGAGGCCCCCAGAAAACAAGCACGCCACAACTACCACGATCTGAGACCCTCGATCCTCGGCCACAGTCTCCGTGCAAAACCAATCCCCGCCCATCCTGGCCATTCGAGCCGCGTCCAGAGAAGAAAGAACGACTCCACGCGCCAGGCAGGTACAGCGCCGATCCGAAAAATCCGCGCGGAACTCCAGCAGTTCATGATTCTGCAGGCATGTGTGCTTCGAGTCCACCTGTGTCGACAAGAAGCCTCCGAAACACTCAAAAAGCCTCCCGAAACGACAACTTCGAATATCCTCGATCCTCGAATCTCGACGCCGACAGCGAACTCCCGCTCGCGGACCCTGCCCCTCCTCCAGGAAGACGTCCGCATCGATCGGAGCGGCGTCCTTGCGGCGGGCCGGATCTCCTCCTCACCCCCCCTCAGCCCTCCACAGAACAACGAGCACTGTAGAAATCTAAAACGTCGGAGGTCCGCGCGGAATTCTGGGATCTGCGAGGAGCCCAGAGCAGATCCCAGAAATCCCCGCGGACCTTCTCCAAAATTTGGGTTTGTGTTGTTGCTGCTGCTGTTGTTGTGGTTGTGCTTGTGGTTGTGGTTGTTGTTGCTGTTGCTGTTGTTGCTGTTGCTGTTGCTGTTGCTGTTGTTGTTGTTGTTGCTGTTGCTGTTGCTGTTGTTGTTGTTGTTGTTATTGGTAGTGTTGTTGTTGTTGTTGTTGTTGTTGTTATTGCTATGGTCGTTATGGTTGTTGTTGTTGCTGCTGCTGTTGTTGTTGTTGTTGAACATTATTTATTCTAAAGAATAATTATTGTTGGGCCCCCTGGTGCGCGCCCCCCCTGCGCCGCCTAGGCCGCAGCTACATTTTCATCATTTTCGTGAGGAAGCCTCAGAAAAGAGGGTGTGTACAGGATCCGGTTGTTTTGTTGTAATCCGCTTTCCCTTGCAAAAAAACAATAGAAAATGACATTTCTTGTTCTAATATAATCAAATTTCAAGAATCCCTTGCAAAAAATAAGGTAAAGTGGACATTCGCGCGCGCAAGACGAAATCCTTCCAAAACCTTAGTGTTCGCAGCGATTTTAACATAAAAACATCAAAAAACCAATGGTTTTTCAACAAAAAATGTCAAAATCTCATCCCGCGCGCTCTTGCGGATTCGTAGGAAACCCAACACTTTTTAAACATTTCTGTCAAACGGGCTTTTGCGAGCAACTTTTTCGAACTTCTGCGACAACGGTTGCGCACCTGCCAGGGCCATCATCCCTGTCAAATAATACCATGCGGGACACATTCGTTTTTTCTTCGCGCGCGCACGCCGAAATCTCCAAAAACCATTGGGCTTCTTAAGAATTTTAGCACCGCGCATCATAAAATCACACGAATCGCACCGTAGGTCCTCGAAAAACACCTGCACGACTTTTCAAAATTTCTACCCGCGCGCGCTGTCCGAATCCTAAAAAAACCAATGGTTTTCCAACATTTATGTTACATGAGCTCGCGCGAGCTACTTTCGCACGCTCTTGCAACGGGGTTCGCGCGCCTGCCAGGGGCCACAATCCCTTGCGGTTGCGCCATAGGTTGCGCCCTCGGCCGCCGAGAATAAAACGTACCCCTATTCTGCCAGGAGCCCAGCTGGCAGCATTGCGCCCCATCCGTGCCATCAGGGACGGGCGTATGCCAGAAGATGACGAGCACACGAACTCGTCTCTTTAGAGCCGCGGCGGGGAAAAGACGGTGGGTGGGCGTGCAAGCGCCGTTCCCGCCCCTCCTCTCTCTTCTCTCCTTTCCTCCTTGTCCTGCTCCTCCTCCTCCTCCTCCTCCGGCGGGGGGCGTGAGGATCCGGCATCGCTCACAACCATCGGGACAACCATCGGGACAACCATCGGAACAACCATCGGGACAACCATCGGGACAATCATCGGGACAGTCATCGGGACAACGATCGGGACAAGCACAACCGTCAGGACAACCATCGGGACAATCATCGGGACAACGATCGGGACAACCACAACCATCAGGACAACCATCGGGACAACCATCGAGACAACCATCGGGACAACCATATCCTCTCTCTCTTGTGTATTCCCACATCCCTCAGGAATTTGCCCTAAAGATGTGATCAACTATCTTGTGAGTACGTATCATGTGTATCATGTGTATCATGTACCATATGCATCATATGCAACAGATGTTCTGTGGAAGGCTTAACAACTTCTGTGGGTTAACAAGGCTTAACAACTTCTGTGGGTGTACGAACGTAGGCTTAACAACTTCTGTGGGTGTGTACTCCACGCCAGTGTAGTAGCCACGGTCGTCCGCAGGCCACGAAGTGAAGTGTCCGAACGTCATAGGGCGGGAAGCTGGGTGTGGGTGGTGGCGAAGAGTCGTGTGGATATTTGGTAGAGCTTGCACTGCCCCCCCACAAAGTGGGGGTATTGGCTGGCGTCGCATGAAAACCCTGGCACTGGTGAGAACACTGAGCGTTCGGGTAAAGTGATTGTTGTTGTTGGTGTTGTTGTTGTTATTGTTGTTTTTGTTGTTGGTGTTGTTTCTGTTGTTGTTGATGTCTATGATTATGTCTTCTCCCTCGACCCGAGGATCTTGGGACGTTTCGTGCGCCTCCTCTCTGTCTCGCGGCGCACCCGAGCGAAGGAGCATCCAGAGACCTTTGCAGATCTGGGAGCCTCGAGAGGGGGCCCGCGTCCTCGCCCTTCTGGACGATCGGCCTCCCAAGCAGGGTCGGAGCAGATGGTGTCGGAGGATCGCGCCGCATCGGCGATACATCGGCGACGCATCTGAGCATCGCTTAACGAGTCCCTACTTCGCCGCTGCGAAAGTTCGGCCGAGATGCAGCGCCTCCCCAGAGGCGACGGGGCGGTACGTGGGCAGCGGCGCTGCGCCAGCGACAGGAGAGGAAATGTCAAAGGGGACCGCTAGGCCGCAGGGCCCCAGTACAATGTTCAGCTAAAACATTGGTTTGCTCATGTCTCGTGGGGCACCGCCCGTTCGAATGCGAGCCCGATAGTTTCGAATTCCAGGCGAATTCGTTTTTTTGAGAAAGTCCCTAGCGACAGCCACACTTTCGAAATCTCTGGTCGGAGCATTGACAGTTCGAATGCCAAACAGCGTGGCCATTTCGAAACGACGGTGTCGATTTAGACCTCATCAGAACAATTCCCCTGCCGAAAGACCTAACCATATGCAGCTGCGAATGCCGCGAGGGAGATGCGACGAAGAAAGGGGGGCGCGCAAACTCAGAGTAGCGCGCGCTGTATAGCCTTCCGCCACGAAGCGTGTGAAAAGGTGTGCTGAGATGAGTCGGGATGACGCCTGCGAGCGTCGCCATTGGGACCTTCCGTGGAGCTCCTTCAGGGGCCACGAAGCGTGTGAGGTGTGTGCCGACATTGGGCGGCGGTGCCATGCGAACTCTCCCACTGGGGCCTTCGGTGGTGCCGAAATTTGGCGGCGGTGCCATGCGAACTTTCCCACTGGGGCCTTCGGCGGAACTCCCTATGGGGAACTCCCCATTGGGCCACGAAACGTGTGAGGGGTGTGCCAAAATGGAGCGGCGGTGCCATGCGAACTTTCCCACTGGGGCCTTCGGCGGAACTCCCTATGGGGAACTCCCCATTGGGCCACGAAGCGTGTGAGGGGTGTGCCAAAATGGAACGGCGGTGCCATGCGAACCTTCCAACTGAGGTCTTAGGTGGGGCTCTTTATGCAACCACGCAGCGTGTGAGGGGTGTGCCGGAATAGGGCGGAGGTGCCAAACGAACTTTCCCACTGGGGCATTCGGTGGAGTTCCCCATGGGGCCACGCAGCGTGTGAGGGGTGTGCCCAAATGGGGCGGCGGTGCCATGCGAACTCTCCCACTGGGGACTTAGGTGGGGCTCCGTATGGGACCGCGAAACGTATGAAGGGTGTGCCGACATGGGGCGGCGGTGCCTTGCGAACTTTCCCATTGTGGCCTCCGGTGGAGCCCCCCATGGAGGCACGAAACTTGCGCGGGGTGTGCCGAAATGGGACGGGCACGCGGAGAGCAGAGGCAGGGAGGAGAGGAGAGAAGAGGGGGATGAGGAGCAGCGGGAGGAGGAGGAGTGAACGCGGGGCGCTGTATTTCAAAACGAGGACCAAACACCACAGCATGGTTGGGACAAAAATTAGCCTGGCGAAAGCCCCAACCAGATGCAGTTGTGAATACCGCAGTTGTGAATACCATCTTCGCCCGCGCTCCCCATGTGGCCACGGCTCCCCGCCGGAGCCCGGCATGCTCAGGGACACGTTCGTGGCCGTCTTCGCGGGCGCCGACGACGACGAGGATGGCGCCCCTCTGACCATGGAGTGGAGGCAAGAGAGGGCTCTGAAAACCATGAGGGGGGAGGTGGCGTTGCACGTCGACAAGGCGGGGTAGGACGCCCAGGCGCGGTTGTTAAAGCAGCACAACTATGGGGCCACGATCCTCGTGGGGGGCGTGCCGCAATGGCCCGAGGCCGCCATGCGAACCCTGCCGCTGGGGCCTTCGATGGAGCTCCCTATGGGGCCACGATCCTCGCGAGGGGTGTGCCGAACTGGCCCGAGGCCCCTTTCGAACCCTGCCACTGGGGCCTTCGGTGGAGCTCTTATGGGGCGACGATCCTCGTGAGGGGTGTGCCCAAATGACCCGAGGTCGCCATGTGAACCTTGCTACTGGCGCCTTCGGTGGAGCTCCTATGGAGCCACGATCCTCGTGAGGGGTGTGCCGCAATGGCCCGAGGCCGCCATGCGAACCCTGCCGCTGAGGCCTTCGATGGAGCTCCCTACGGGGCCACGATCCTCGTGAGGGTTGTGCCGAACTGGCCCGAGGCCGCCATGCGAACCCTGCTACTGACGCCTTCGGTGGAGCCCATATGGGGCCACGATCCTCGTGAGGGGTGTGCCGCAATGGCCCGAGGCCGCCTTGCGAACTCTGCCACCGGCGCCTCGGTGGAGCTCCCAGGGGTGTGCCGAAATGGCCAGAGGCCGCCGTGCGAGCCCTGCCACTGAGGCCTTCGATGGAGCTCCCTATGGGGTCACGAAACGCTGTGCTGGGTTTGCCGAAACAGAGACATGCGGAGGGCAGAGGCAATGATATGATGATGGCGATGATGGTGATGATGACGATGATGGTGATGATTACGACGGTGATACCGACGATGCTGATGACGACGATGATGGCGATGATGGCGATGACGATGATGACGATACCGTGGTGACGATGCTGATGACGATGCTGATGATGATGATGATGACGATGATGACGATGATGACGATGATGGGGCCACGATCCTCGTGAGGGGTGTACCGAAATGGCCCGAGGGCGCCATGCGAACCCTGCCACTGGCGCCTTCGGCGGGGCTCCCTATGGGGCCACGATCCTCGTGAGGGGTGCACCGAAATGGCCACAGGTCGCCAGGCGAACCCTGCCACTGGAGCCATCGGTGGAGCCCATATGGGGCCACGATCCTCGCGAGGGGTGTGCCGCACTGGCCCGAGGCCGCCATGCGGGCACTGCTACTGACGCCGTCGGTGGAGCTCCGTATGGGGCCACGATCCTCGCGAGGGATGTGCCGAACTGGCCCGAGGCCGCCATGCGAAGTCTGCCACCGGCGCCTTCGGTGGAGCTCCCTATGGGGCCACGATCCTCGTGAGGAGGGTGCCGAACTGGCCCGAGGCCGCCATGCGAACCCTGCCGCTGGCACCTTCGGTGGAGCTCCCTATGGGGTCACAAAACGCTGTGCTGGGTGTGCCGAAACAGAGACATGCGGAGGGCAGAGGCAATGATATGATGACTAGAACCACGCGCGCGCGCTTCGCGCGCGCTTGGGTTCTAGCAAGCTCTGGTTATAGTCTACAGTGTTTGGCGTCGGAGGACACACAGTATCACGCGGATCGTCCAGCTCAGGGAGATCCACCGACGGCCCCAGATACAGGCTTGGCTTAAGAGTCCCCCCGCCTATGCTGATACACCCCTCAAAGGGATCGCGCCCCACAGGGACCTCCACCTATGTCCCCAGAGGCAAGGTTCGCATAGTGGCACGCTTCTCGCGCGGATCGTGCCCAGCACGTAACTGCATCTGCGGCACCAGAGGGGAGCTTCATAGCGTCGCCTGGCTTACTTCGGCGCACCTCTCGCACGGATCGTGGCCCGCAGGGACTTCCACTGACGGTCCCAGGGGCAAGGTTCGCATGCCGCCGGGCGGCATGCGAACCCCTCGCCTACTTCGGCACACCTCTCGCACGGGTCGTGGCCCACAAGGATCTCCACACATGGCCCCAAAGGTACGGTTCGCAATACGCCCCTCCGCCCATTCCGGCACACCCCACCACGCAAATCGTACACAGAAGGAACACCACCTTGCTGGCACACCGCCGTCACGCGAATCATGCCCCAGAAGAATCTCCACCTATGGCACCAATGGACAGCTTCGCATGGCGTCCCCCCGCCCATTTCGGAACATGCCTCGCACGGGTCGAGTCCAAAGGTCGACCTGCGGCCTCAATGGGCGTGTTCTCTCGGGGGCATCCGAATTACTCGGCACACCTTCACGCGGACCGTGCCCCACAAAGAGCTCAACGAACCGCAGCAGCCCAATTACCGCGACGTCCCGCGGCGTAAAGTGTATGAAGAGAGACCCGCGCCCCGCGCTGCACAAGCCAACTGCTGGCTGATCTATAGCCTTCGGCTCATGTCGCTACTGTGCCTGAGTTTTGGGCCAGGGGATTCTCGGACACCTGTCTGTTGGCATGCTTCTCGGGCACCTCGAGGCGCGCATTTTGAAGCTTATTGGGGCCTCTTAGGGGCCTCTTAGGGCCTCTTTTTGAACTCTTGGGGGCCTCTTGAGGGTCTGCCACTTGGAGCGGAAGGCTCGAAATGTCCGTTTGAGTTCCCCCTCTTGGATCCCTCTTGGGGCCCCATCGTCTTTTGCTGCCACCTTCTCCATCTCCTTTTCGTGTGTCTCCCCCTCCTCCTTCCTCCTCCTCTTCTCCTCCCCTCTCCCTCCTCCTCCTCCTCCCCTCCCCCCCCCCTCCCCCCTCCCCCTCCCCCTTCCCCCCTTCCCCCCCCCCCCCCCTCCTCCCCTCCTCCTCCCCTCCACCTCCTCCCTCCTCCTCCTCCTCCTCCTCCTCCCTCCTCCTCCTACCTCCTCCTCCTCTCCTCCTCCTCCCTCCTCCTCCTCCTCCTCCTCCTCCTCCTCCTCACACACTGCCTCCGCGTACCCTGTCACGTTGTCCTTTAACTCCTTCCTGTGATCACACATCCCGTCGCCATCGACGGCCAAAACCTTCAGGGTCGGCGGCACCGGCCGTAAGGCCTTCACAATCGCCCCCCACCCCCGTTAAGCAACGCTGACTGGCCGGGTGGACGTGAATTGGCAGGGCAGGGGCAGAGGTGGGGTAACAAGAAGCATCGCTCGAAACGGCGCCTGGAAGAAAGACATGGGAGCATCCCGCTGGGCTCGTTCCCCAACCCCACCTTGGGAGAACCCTCCCGCTACGGCCCCCCAAACTGTGCGTCGCGGCGGCCATGCCCGGGAGGGGCGGCGGTCCCCTTCTTGTCTGGCGGACGAGGACGGCGCGCCTCGGGCCGGGAGTGCCGGCGCATCCCCCGGGCGGGGGGTGCGTCGGGGCTGGCCCGCCGTGGGGGGCGCTCCCAGATGGCGTGGTGGGCGGTGACAGGCCTCACCGCGCAGCCCTAAGATCCTGGCGCTGCAACTTTTGCACAACGGGCGCCTTTGCTCCATGTCGGTCCCCGGGACCCTCACAGATCGATCCTGCTCGAAACATGACGCAGGAAGATGGGGTCCGGGGCTCCGGTGGTGAGTTTTCGCGATGCTACAACTTTTTTGCAGCGTCGGATCATATGACTACCTACCAGACCACCCCAACCCAACCCGAAGACCCGAATTCGACCCGAATTTCGGGTTGGGGGGGGCACGGGTTCCATGTGTTTTTCCATGTTCCCCGACCCCCCCCACTGGAACTGGAGAGCAAATTTGGGCCTTCGGGTTGGGTTGGGGTGGTTTGGTAGGCGGTGATCAGAAGGTCCGTTAACGCACGGTCTTGGGACCTGGAGGCCCCAATCGCTCGAGACGTCCTCGGAGAACGACTCGAGTCCCAGAACCGTGCGGTGACCCCGAACCGCCACTGACTCCCAACGAGGTGCGGTCACCACCCCATTTGGGTGCTCCCCGATGAGACGAAGCCAGGGCCTTTGACTTGACAGAGGAGGCGGAGGTATTAGAGGCCTCACTTAGATGGAGTCCGAGTAGGTTGGGTTGAAAGATCGCGCCGCATCGCCAATGCAACGCCGATGCGTCGGCGACGTCGGTGGTGCATCGGTGCCATCGGCGTGGAGGAACTATGGCTCCACATCGAGCCGCGTCGGCGATGCATCGGCGATGCGGCGCGACCCTCTGACCTCATCTGCTCAGACTCCATCTGAGAGGCCCAGAAACCACATATGAGCGACGAAACTAAGCGGATCCTACACAAGATGGCGTAGCTACCTTACGTAGTGGCTTGCGCGGCCGCCAGCGCGGCACGCTACATTGAAAACGAGTGCGCTCACGCGTCGCCTTTCGCGGGCAGCCTACGCGCGAATGTCCGCGCAATCGAAACTGTTCTTCTGCGTCGCTCATGGGAGCCCTCACCCCCGCGAGTGAGATGTCTGGAAAACTGGCCGGGACTCGGAGTTTGAAGCATGCCTGCTGCCAAGCGAACCCCGCCGGAGGCGTCCGAAACCCAGGCGGCGATCGGATCCGCAGGGGTCATTCGGGTTCACAAGTGGCAGATCTGAAAGAACTGGCGGTTCTGGAAAATGTGTTGGGAGCCGCGGCCATTCAAGAGCGTTCCGCAACGCACTGAGAGCGTTTCGGATCTTCCTTGAAAGACTTCTATCACGGCCCTGGGCGCCCCCGACTGGGGGGGATGGGATCCAGACCTCCAACACGTTGACAAACACGCTACGGACCTCTGTCCGCTGCCTTCGGCCTCGTAGGGGTCCCTCGCCAGGGCGGGAGGCTGCGAAGAAAACTGCTCAGGATGAAGGGGCCAGGACTTCAGGGACCCTGTGCTGAGAAAGCAAGCATCGGATCTCCGGGGAGGGGGAGGAATGGAGAGGGGCAGCTTTCGGGGCCCCCCAAACCGCGTGGTGACGGACTGCGTGGTGACCTCGGAATCCCCAACGACCTCACCGCACGGCGTCCGCCACCAGACGGCTTTGGGACCCTGGAGGCCCCCGTCGCCCGAGACGTCCTCGGAGAACGACCCGAGTCCCGAAACCGTGCGGTGATCCCGAGGCCCCACCGACTCACCATGCGGTGTGGTAACCTCACACCCCGAGACCTATACAGCAAAGCCAACCCATATGTGAAAAGAACGCACGACGAGGACGCAAGCGCCTGAGAAGGCCACGTCGACAGGTTGCGGGCAGGGCGCGGCCAGCGAAATTGGTCAAGGATGGGCCGGAGGGGAGGCATGCAAAGGCGACCTCGGAAAGTTGCTTATCCTTACTATGCGGGCTGACGGCAAGCGTTGGCGGCGCACAGAGGGGGGAAGGCTTCTTAGAAGCACCCCTGCGCGGGCCTTCTCTGTAGATTTAAGGCCGGCGCCTACTAAGGAGCAGCCGCCTTAGGCCGGCGCCTACTAAGGAGCAGCCGCCTTCTAAGAAGCCTTCCCCCCTCCCCCGAACCCCCTCTGCGCGCCGCCCAAAGCGGCCCAGACATCTGGAGGAGCGAAGAAGGGCAGGCGACCACTCTGGCTGCCGCCCACCGCCCGCGCAGGGAGACGGAGGTGGGGGGGCGGGGCAGAGCGGCCCTGCGGGAAAGGAAGAGGGGGCGGGGCAGACGCTATAGTGAAGGGGCCCAGGGACAGACAAATTCGCCGGCCCAACGGGCCAGGGCGTGCTAAGATCTCTGGTAACTGGTTAACAGTATTAACAGTATTTCTAGTTCGCGCGCGCGGGGCGGCCCCTGGGGGTCCCCCGGCGAAAAGTACCCCGACCAACGCCCGGTCGCCGCCCGACCGCCGCCCGACCGCCGCCCGACCAAGTCTACTCAGAGATGGTTTTCCTTCTGGGTGCGGCCTCTCAGGCTCCCCAGAGCGCGCTCAGAGTGCCCCAAGAGGCCCCCAAGACTGCCCAAGAGGCCCCCGAGACGCCCAAAGAGCGCTCGAAGACGCCGAAGATGACCCCAAGACGGCCCAAAAGGCCCCCAAGACAGCCCAAGAGGCCTCCAAGACGCCCCAAGAGCCTTCCAAGAGGCCTCCGAAGAGAGCCCCAAGAGGCCAAAATCGTTGATTTTCATTGGTTTTTTCGATGTTTTTTGTGTTCTGGCTTTTTCGGCTTCCGGACGCTCCAAGACGGCCCAAGAGGCCCCCAAGACCGCTCCAAGACGGCCCACGAAGCTCCCAAGACGGCGCCGAAACGACCCAAGAGAGCCCTCAAGACGGCCCAAGTGCCGCCCAAGACGGACCAAGAGGCCCCAAGACGGGCCCAAGAGGGACTCAGGAGGGATACCGAGAACTCAAAAATGGAGCCCTCCGTCCCAGAAGGCGCCCAGGAGGTCCCAAAGAGGCCCCAAGAGGCCTCCAAGAGGCCCCAAGATGTCGCCAAGAGGCCCCAGGAGACTCCCAGGAGGCCCAAAAGAAGCCCCAGAAGGCTTCAAACATGTCTCCCAGGCGCCCCCGAACGGCCTCTCAACAGACCCCAAGAGGCCCCCCAAAGAAGCATCTTGACGACGACTCTATTTCGCCCCATCGAGAGACGACCCCCAGGGAACTGCTTCACCATCAAAACTCCCCACGCAACGCGTCCGAACGACACCCGCCCCCAAGAGCGCAACATGGGCAACGAACACACAGACAAAAACCAGCGATGCCATATCACGGGCCGGCGGAATGAGCGAAGCGATTCAATAAATATTCACAAATCCAGAGATTCCGAATCTTTTCTCATACTTTCTTGATTCACGTCTTCCCCCCCACTTCCTGTACTTTCCCATGTCAGCTTCTGGGGAATCGACGATCAATTGTGTTTGTGTCTTTCCCTCCAGATATATGTCACGGCGCTGGCGATTGCGCGGCGCAGGTCGGAGCCCAGTCGGCGGGTCGCAGGAGAGCGGCCGCGCATGGAGAGGGAAGGAGGGGCGCCGGTCTTCGCGGGCAGGGCAGGGTGCAGCGGACAAGGGGGGGCCCAGACATCCGGCGGCTCAGGTATCCGGGCAAATAGGGCGCGCGTGCCTTGAGCCATAAGGCAGCGACGCGCAGGCTATACTCCCGATTATCTATAACATCTCCCAAAGAGCTACCCTTAAAGTGCCCAGACATCCGGCGGCTCAGGAGATCGGCGCGGCCGCCGTCTCGCTGCTCTCGGCCATCGCAGGCCGCGCTCGAGCCCCCAGCCGTCCAGAGGTGACCAGCAATACGAGGACCCCTTACCCTTTGGGAGCGGACCCGAGTCAAAGGGCTCAGAGCAGTAGGGGTGGGGGTCTGAGCTGCAAAGGAACCCAACCAGAACACACACAAATGCGATATCCCTACTGCAATGGCGGAAGCCTAAGAGAGGCCACGTCTTCATTGTGTCATTAGGGTTGGGGGTATTCTTGGTGAAGAGACGGCTCGGGCGAGCCGGCCCCGCGGGAGGGGGTCGCAATGTGCGGCGGCCCGCGTGACGAACACACCGAGCCGCCAGGTGCCTCGTCCAGGAAGGGGAGGCCAAGGACAGGGAGGAGGACGAGGAAGGAGGGGGGAGGAGGAAGGAGAAGGAGGAACAGTGGAGTGAACGACAGGCGCCGACTGCGCCTCTTTGTTTGTTGTTTGTTTTTTTTTTCTCTCTCTCTCTCTCTCTCTGTCGCCCCCCAGCTCCTCCTCCTCCTCCTCCAAGTCCTCCTGGCCCGCCTCAGGCAGGCTTAGATCCGCATCGGACAAGCGAGTGATTTCTCCGCCCCAGATGATGGAGACACCGGCATGCTGCCGATAGCCATGGGTGTAATCTCAAGACTGCCTGAACACAGCATAGCAGAGCGGGCCGCAACTTAGGCCAGTGCGTCCGCTGTGTGAAGCGGTCGGTCGTCCTGGGGAGCTTCCACCTTCCCCAAGGGGTGCCAGGCGCCCACAGGGGAAGCGCTACACCAACCACACCACGACCGACAGCAGGAGAGGCCGAAGCAGGGGAGAGGGGAGATGGGGCTCGGGAGGATCGCGCGCTCCCGAAAGGAGGAAAAGAGAAAGGTCAGAGGGTCCAGCCTCGAACAAAAAAGCCATGGGCGTGCCCCATCGGAGGGGAAGTTGTTTTCATCCAGGGGATCGGGAGGAGGGGGCGACGCGGGAGGGAAGCGGAGCAGCAATAATCACCCTTGTCGATCTCTGGCCCTACGGCTGGGACCCCACGGGAGCTGGCCCTCCTCCGGTTTCTCCGCTTCCGCCCCTCCTTCCCCTTTACCCCTCCCCGCTCCTCCTCGTCCTCCTCATGGCTGTAGCATCCCCTCCTCATCCTCGTCCCCCGCATCTCCTCATGTCTACAGCATTCCCTTCACCCCCCACCTCCTGCCTCCTCCTCCTCCTCCTCCTCCTCCTCCTCCT